CAGTGAATTAAAGAACATCCTGTGGAGAGCAGTGATCATTGATGAGGCTCACAGACTGAAAAATAAGAACTGCAAAATGTTGGAAGGACTCAGAGAACTACACATGGTAAGTACATGTACATGCACATGTACTTAAATATACATGTACATTTCTATATATTTAATGTAATTTTATAATATAAGCTGATTCCAGAATTAGATTTTTAATGGATTTTTAAAGTTGTGGCTAAATTTCTTGTACTTATAGTGCAGCGATTTTGGTCAATTTTTGCCAAAAATTGAAAATAGAGAATTCTCTTTTTTAATACTTTTTCCTGATGCATATACATGTTCTTATGTTGCGTAGAAAGTTTGAGTCGATTCTGATCAAAGTTTGAATTTTTACGAATTTTTAAAGTTGCTTCCAAATTGTGTCAAAGTCCCTGTACTATAGTACAGTGATTTTAGTCAAATTTTGCCAAAATTTGAAAATAGAGAATTCTCTATTTTTATTATTTTTTCTGATGCATATACATGTTCTTATGTTGCGTAGAAAGTTTAAGTCGATTCCGATCAAAATTTCAAATTTTTTTGATTTTTAAAAGTTGATCAAAAAATGCACATGTACATGTACATGTACGTGTAGTTGCATTAATACTCTGTACATTTCTAATGTGCCTTTGTGCTGTTCTAGGAGCACAGGGTGCTATTGACTGGTACTCCTCTTCAGAACAGTGTGGATGAATTGTTTAGTTTGTTAAATTTCTTGGAGCCGTCACAGTTCCCCTCATTACAGTTATTCCTCCAGCAGTTTGGGGATCTTAAAACTGAAGAACAAGTTGAAGAATTACAAAGTGTAAGGAACACACACACACACACTTTTAATTGTATATTCTTATCCTAATTTTACTGAGTCTAGAGGTGATTTTTAAATTACTGACACATACATGTACATGTGATTCATAATACATGTGTACATGTACATGTACTTGCTAAAAATTAATTTATAGAGCCTACAATACATGTACATGTACAGTACATCAAATTAGTACGCACAACTTTAATGCAAACTTCTACTCTTCAAAAATCTTATTTTTTAGCTTTCTTCCCTTGTAATCTCTCTTTTTGAAACAACTTACTCTATAGATGTGTCCTTATGTGATGTTTGCATTACATGCTAAACTATTAATGAATTTTTAGATATTGTATCATTATTTTATGTACATTTCCTGTTCTAGGTTCTCAAGCCAATGATGCTTAGAAGACTCAAGGAAGACGTTGAGAAAAGTTTAGCACCAAAAGAAGAGACTATCATTGAGGTAAACACTTATTTACATGTACATTAATTTAAATATAAATATGTGTGCAATATGTGTACAGTACCTAGCAGACATGGTGTTACATTTTGTATACACGTCAGACAGGGTCTTTATCTTGCAAGCGCTGCATATCATTATCAGGGCAAATGCATGCACTTCTATGTACCATGTAGCTGGTTTTTTTGAGGATAATAAATTTCGCGAATGACCCATATCTGGAAGTTTGTGGAAATAATTTTCGCGAA